GTGATAGAAACAAAACAATTAATATAGAAATTAACAATAAAACTGAAATAACTTGATGCTGGGACTCGCATTAAATGACCTAGGATCCGCGTACTCCCTCCTTCTTTGATAGCATCATCATTTTATTTGCTTCTCTAGCCTCATTAATATATCTGAAAAATCAATAAAATTTCTGTTAGAATTTATTAGTTATGCTTGATTTTTGATATACCAAATTGATTAAAATGTTTGAGTCAACGATTGAGCGCACAATGCACACTCTTGAAAATTTATCATGAACCACAACTTAGGAGCTATGGGATAACCATAGTTCTTCAGAATGATAAGTTAATGCATTGTCTTTTATAAACACAAGTCACAACAGGTGTCTCCCATAGTTTTTGAAAAAAAAAAACACCAGGAAATAACCATAGTTTTTGACTAATCCTGTAGTAGCCTACGTTATAGGGTCAAGCAGTCCTTTTGCTAGAAAATCAAAAATATTATTAGTACAAGTGATCAATATGGTTCTGCTTGAAAAAAAAGTCAAATGTACTAACAAAATATCAAAAGAAAAACTTGCAGTTTCACATACGCGCTTACAGTATAATTCTTGAAAACCAAGCATGAGCCACAAATCTTAGTCTATGGATTAACCGTAGTTCCTCAAAATGTTCAGTAGTTATACTGTCTTCTATGAGAGAATCTGGTTACAAACCAGCCTTCCAAGGAAGAATAACTGTAATTTTTGCCAATCTATGCCAGATCACAGCTCACAGGATACTAGCTGATTTATAAAGGTAGAAAAAAGAAACTAATGTTTCTTATATATGGCAGACTAAATTTTTAAGGGAAAGTAAAGAAGAAAAATTAGCATTTTTAGACGATGAAAATATTAGATGGAAAAATGTGATGTGTTTCGCGTTACTTGTAGGTAGTAGCATATAGCACAAATAAACTCATGCGAATCTGATATATGATATATATATATATGATGATATTTCATAAACTTATCATTTCATAATGTATAACTTACAAGTTGATTTTTTCATTAAAGAAAAACCAACGCTGGTAAAATTTTTTAAAAAGTTTAATTATAAGTCAAAGAAAATAGGTTTATCAGCTTAGTGCTCTGCGCTTAACGCAAGTCTCAGAATTTTTAAAGACGATCGAAAACTTATTCAACTAGAACGAAACTATAAAAGTGGTTATTATATAGAAGCAATGAATAATTATTATGAAAAATTATAGAGTAATCGTGTTCTTGGAAAGAAAAAGGTTTGTTAAACATGTTTTGCTAGTGTACTGTTTCCAAGTCTAAAACTCTTTACATTTTGCCATGCTTCTGTTGACAAGAGGTTAACAAAGAAAACAGAAAAGGCAATTCGAAATAATATTGATGATCTTCTTCCTAGCAATCAAGTAAATCCGAAAAAATCTTGTCTGACAGGGTCTGTTAACAATTCCTTAATTCTGGCTGATTCAAAAATAAATAAAGTTGATCACAGTACTGAGCCTAACAAAGGAGATGGTAACACATTAGTTTTGTATTTTGTCATATTTTTAAACACAGATTTAATATATATCGTTATAAATGTATATATTAGATGTGTCTGAGCAATTCGATGCACGTAATTTATTGGCTAAGGTATTGTCATTTTTGGGTGCCAAAAAATAAAAAAATTGATGTATTGATCATATTCTGTTTAGAAACGATCACAAGTTCTTTATTCTTGAAAAAATGTCATTGACAAGACTGATATAAGAAATGAATCTAAAAAAGATATGAGTACAGCTTCAATGTGATTAATATTTTGTCAGTATATTAACGAACTATACTTGCGCACTTTTTTCAGTAGATTCTTGATAAATATAATCTCTCTGCTGAATTTTGTAATTTTCAACTGTCAATAATTTAAGAAATTGAAAAGAACCTCTTTCTATCCTTTAAAACTGATTTTTATAAGATTCTGTAAGCATTGTATCCTGAATTACGATTATGTTCACATTATATATAAAGTCATTAACAACCTTATGATAAAATAGTTGTCTGTCCAATATAATGCTTATAGAACAGACAAAGCCATTATATCTTACCTGCAGTAAAACAGTTTGGAATCATATATGCCGAAGACAAGTCTGTCAGATGTGATCCAAAATATGATTCTCAAATATTCTAAAGTAATACCCTTTTTCAGATTTGGTTACAATACTGCTTCATAAGTTAATCTCAAGCTCCTTTCCAAATTCCAGCTATTGAATGCATTCACACCACTGGATGATATTCAGAAAATTTAGTGTGTAAATTTTTCAAAAGTTAACGAGTTGAGCAACCAAGATGATATAGAAAAATTTTGTGGAAGTCAAATTATTTTACGTAACTAGTAGGTATTAAAACATTATAATCAATGTAATACTACTGAATTGAATGAATATCTTTCTTTTTACAGTTTACTTCTGAGATCCAAAACTAATAATGATAACGAAGACACATTTGTTCATGAAATGTTGCACGATTTACTGAAGGAAATCTTTCATGATTCAAATTTTGAATTAGTCTGATAAGAGTTTGTTTCTGAGCTTGCTGTGTAGTTAGTTAAATCATATAATTCAATATCTGATTTAAATAAAAGGGTGAACAGCGAGAGCACTTCCTCAAAAAGCTGACGTTATAATAATAAAGAAAATTCGCAAGGTAAAAAACCAGATTTTAAACTCTTGGTAAATACGAATAATGAGATTCTTTTTGGTGAAGTTAAACCACCAAAATATAAAAACTCTTCTTTATTAGTTTCTCAAGATCTTGTCAAGCTAGCAACCTTTCAATCTGGTACTTTGGATGAGTTAGTTAAAAAGTATAGAAATAGGATTGAGATAACATCCTTCAGAGTGTGGATTTATGGTAAGTGTTCAAATTTGGTTTAAATTCTTATATATTTGCTAATACTCAATTGCATTTATAGGAGTACAAATCCATATTTATCAAATGGACTTAGACTACGATGGATTATACAGGATGTATCTGATTGCAGACATAGTTATACCCACTCAAAAATCCCAATTTATAAGTCTAATGCCAATATTGGAAACGTTTTACAATGTCAAAGTAAGTGACTATTAATTTCAAAAATATCTGTTTATTATTGATGTGACTCACTCTCTTTGTAATTTGAAGGATTCCGTTTCTAAAGTTTTGAAGGTAATTACCTCTAACACTTCACCTCTTCTATTTCATTCCGATTATTATAGATTATCCCCTCCCTCACCAGAACCCATCAAAGTTACAGTTGTTAAAGGAAATTCTAACCGAAAATAAGTTAGAATCATATTTTTATTATGTAATTAATACATATTTCTAGTATAGACGTAATATATTCTTAAAATGTAAAATCTTTTACTTCACACTGTAAAGTTTTCTATTCCCTAAGCTAGCTATTAGTAAATTTTAGACAAAAATTAATAAACATTTCTCCTAAATTTATACGCGTATGTGATGTGATTTGAGTGTTTGCAATGTGATAAATATGCGGAAAACATGCAGTGTGCATATTTAAAATCAAGATATAACAATATACATGTATTTGATTGGTGAGCTGGAAAATTTTCAAGTTTGTTGTCATACCGCCGGATAAAACATTTGTAATTCCTGGACTTGCAAACCAATAACTATTAATTCCACACAAGAAGGAAACATGTAACTTTGTCAATGAATCATCTGTATATTGATGATATCTTCTTGTATATTTTTTTCGCTACATATACAGTATATTTGTGAGATATTTGATGCCGAACACTAATTAAATATGGAATAATTCTCTTTATGGAGAATTGCGGTACCATATGAATTAGCCATAATGCATATATGCAAATGTGACTAAAATATTGCAAAATCATGTGAAAAATCCGCTATGCTTAGAGAGTTTTGCTAAGAAAAAAATTTTAATATTTCCCTCTTTTGAAGCTAAGCTTCAGGAAAAATATGGTATTCTTTGGATGAAAAAGGAGTTGTTATTATTGTGATGATAGAAGAATTACCCAAGTCACTTGTCACGAGTTTGTTTCGGCAAGTTATGGAATTCAATAAAGCCATAATCATGTTACCATAGGTAACAATGGCTCAGTGCTTTGAATGTTTTGGCAAGGTAATTAGTCCACTTCGCAAAAAAAATACAACTCATTTAAGTACTTTCTCTATTTTTTCTTGTTTACTATCACTGACCATAAACGAAATAAATTGTTAAAGGGTACTTTTCCTTACACTTCTGCTGTCTACTGAGCCTAGCCTTCTGCAAATCTAACAGAGTGTCAATGCGTGTATATAAGTATATTAGCTCTATACCATTAATATTATATACTAAATTTCAAAGGGCCGGCAGGCATGATTTTTTCGTACTTTATTTCTCCCTTTAAACGTGATCTACTCCAATATCTTTTATTAGTTTTATTTTTTACTTAGCCGGCCAGCCCTTTCTTATGTATTATTTTACAAAATTATAATAAAGATTTTACTTTGAGTTTTTAAACGTGATTTGTATTTTACAAGTGATATTTATTAATTAATATTATTAATGATAAGAAACCTCTCAGTAGCTTAGCTATTATGTCAATAGATCAAAAGGAGTGAAATCTGATTGGCTGAATATCTCGTGTTTTATAGAAACTCGTCAGCTTCTGGAACAGGCAGGGATTTAGAGAGATCACATGTGATACAAAATTTAGCTAAAGGCACTGTGCATAATTTGCCAAATTGAAAATTATAATATTTGTTTTTTACTTGAACAATTGGATAAAAATGAATCAGCTAAAATTGCTAAAAAATTAAAATCAATAAAATTGTTATATTCTGTTATAATCTAGCAAAACACTAATATGAATTTAGATAGTAGAGCCCAATATAAGCTAGTTTCTGTAGGCTATAGTAATGTAAACTTCAAAGAATATAGAAGAATATTAGAAGCATTACAGTGGCTACCAAAAGAAACGCAAGTGTGATTGGTTACCTTTGAACGGCTATAACTCATCAACCACAAATGCTA